GGGGATTATTATCTGGTTGACTGAATGTTTGTTCTACAGCCTCACAGCATGACCCACTTTAACCAGACAAGGGTCACATTGTTCTCTCTTTCGTCAAGTTGCTCAAAGGAGTCTCAGAGTGGAACTAATGATATTATGTTAATATTAAACTGTTGGTGTTTTCTTGATATCTTACCATGCATACTTTACTTAATTTCTCCCTCTGTAGCCAGGAAAAAACATGGCACAAAAATATAATACGAGAGACGCACGACGTTTTCAGTTGAATTAGCCTTTCACTTACTGTCTCACCGTGCTAAGTTCAGGAATACACTGTGAATCCCGACTGCTGGTTGGTCCGTGCTCACCTATATGTGATGTTTGCCTCCAGAGCATACTGCAAAGCCAATTCTAGCTGGGCAGGACTCACATCTGTCCCCACCACAGAAGCAAAATGTTTGGCCAGAAGCAAAGTACCCTGTCCTGGGCCACAACCCACATCCACTGCCAGCTCAAAAGGACGAGCTTTCTGTCAAAATAACCAACACGTCAGATGACATTGCTGTAAAGTTAATTTTGACATTTGTCCTCCATTAGTTAATATTTCAGAGGCTGCCATCCTCTTCCTACTTGCACTTACCCATTTTTCCAGGAATCCAAGGACCTGTTGTATAATTTGTTCTGGTGGAGAGATCCTGTACTTTAAGTAAGCAGCAGCATGCTTCTTGCCCTCAAACAGGCGGTGAGCCATGCTTAACCTCTGTGAACAGCTGATTTATCAAAAGTTACATGAAGAGATTAAAGCAATCGTTCTTTTTTCTTTCTCGTACTGGATAAGAAGAGCCAACATTTACATGCTGCAGGCAGTTGGTCAGACAGTGGGGCGCCAGGGAACTGGGAGGTCCCGTTATCTTTGCTGGTACGTGGTGTGTTTCATAATAAGCGAGTTTAAAGGGACAGGTCTCTCTCAGTGCAACATTGCCAAGTGAACTAAATGTTATAATAAAAGATACATTCAGATACATTCAAGTTCACAGGTCTGGGTGAGTATGGTGCGGTTCATGGGTGTTGTGTCAGAACAAGCAAAACCCACTACGGATGGTCTAGCAACTGTGTGTCTGTTTAACTGTATAAGGGTCACTGTTGTAAAACTTCTACAGGTGCTGGTCAGCAGAATTTAATTAAGTCCATTTCCTGGTGTAAAGGGTAGTTAAGACACAATCAACACTGGCTTTATGGGAT